GTTGGCTTCTGCTCTTCTGTCTGTGTCTGTTTCTTGTCTCTCTTTTTCTGGTGTTCTTGCTCTCTTGTCTGTGCTGGTCTTCTTTCTTTGGTCCTGTCTGTTTCTGTGTTCTGTTCCTCTTTTTCTGGCTGTTCTGGTGGTCTTTCTCTCTGTTCTCTCTGGTTGTTGCTTCTTTCTGTGTCTGTCTTTTTCTGGCTTCTGTCTTCTGTTTCTGGTTCTGTCCTTCCTTCTCTGTTCTTGTTCTTTTCTGTGTTCTTGCTCTGTTCTGGGTCTCTTCTTGGCTTCTGTCTGTCTGTGTGTCTGTTCTGTCTGTCTGTCTTCCTGTTCTCTGTCTGGTTTCTTGCGGGTGTCTGTTCTTCTGTCTGTCTGTCTGCTGGTGTCTTCTTCTTCTTTTCTTCTGTTTTTCCCTGTGTCTTCTGTTCTGTGTCTTGGTCTGTGTCTGTTCTGTGTTGGCTCTTGTCTCGGTCTTTGTCTGTGCTGTCTGATGTGTGTCTTCCTGCTGTGTTTTTGGGTCTTCTGTTTCTTCTGGCTCTCTGCTTCTGTCTTCTGTTTCTCTGTCTTTCTTCTGGGTTCTGGTCTGTCTGTGTCTGTCTTCTTCTGGTCTGGTTCTGTCTGTTCTCTGGTGTTCCTGGTCTTGTTGCTTTTCTGGTCTGGTCTGTTCTGTTTCTGTGTTGATCTTCTGTCCTTTGTCTGGTCTGTCTTTAGGGGTTGGTTCTCTGCTGGTCTGCCTTTCTGTCTTTCTGTGGCTGTGTCTTTGTCTTGCTCTGGTCTTGGTTTTGTCTGGTTCTGGTCTTCTGTTCTCTGTTTGCCTGGTCTTGGTCTGTGTTCTCGTGTCTTCTGTTGTCTTTTCTGATTTCTGTCTGTCTGCTGTTTCTGGTCTGTTTGTCTGTGGTCTCTTTCTTCTGGTCTTCTGGTCTCTGTCTGTCTTCTGCCTGCCTGTTGTCTGCCCTCCTGCTGTCTGTTGTCTGTCTGCCTGTCTATCTGTCTGCCTGCCTCCCTTTCTGTCTGTCTGCCTGTCTTTCTGTCTGTCTGTCTGCCTGTCTGTCTGTCTGCCTGCCTGTCTGTCTGTCTGTCTGTCTGCCTGTCTGTCAGCCCTCCTGTCTGTCTGTCTGCCTGTCTGTCTGTCTGCCCTCCTGTCTGTCTGTCTGTCTGTCTGTCTGTCTGTCTGCCTGTCTGTCTGTCTGTCTGTCTGTCTGCCTGTCTGTCTGTCTGTCTGCCTGTCTGTCTGTCTGTCTGTCTGTCTGCCTGTCTGTCTGCCCTCCTGTCTGTCTGTCTGCCTGCCTGTCTGTCTGTCTGCCCTCCTGTCTGTCTGTCTGCCTGCCTGTCTGTCTGCCCTCCTGTCTGTCTGTCTGTCTGTCTGTCTGCCTGTCTGTCTGTCTGTCTGTCTGTCTGTCTGTCTGTCTGTCTGTCTGCCTGCCTGTCTGTCTGTCTGCCTGCCTGTCTGTCTGCCTGCCTGTCTGTCTGCCCTCCTGTCTGTCTGTCTGTCTGTCTGTCTGCCTGCCTGTCTGTCTGCCCTTCTGTCTGTCTGTCTGCCTGCCTGTCTGTCTGCCCTCCTGTCTGTCTGTCTGTCTGTCTGCCTGTCTTTCTGTCTGTCTGTCTGCCTGTCTGTCTGTCTGCCTGCCTGTCTGTCTGTCTGTCTGCCTGTCTGTCTGTCTGCCCTCCTGTCTGTCTGTCTGCCTGTCTGTCTGTCTGCCCTCCTGTCTGTCTGCCTGCCTGTCTGTCTGCCTGCCTGTCTGTCTGTCTGCCTGTCTGTCTGTCTGCCTGCCTGCCTGTCTGTCTGTCTGTCTGCCTGCCTGTCTGTCTGCCCTCCTGTCTGTCTGTCTGTCTGTCTGTCTGTCTGCCTGCCTGCCTGTCTGTCTGCCCTCCTGTCTGTCTGTCTGTCTGTCTGTCTGTCTGCCTGCCTGCCTGTCTGTCTGCCCTTCTGTCTGTCTGTCTGCCTGCCTGTCTGTCTGCCCTCCTGTCTGTCTGTCTGCCTGTCTTTCTGTCTGTCTGTCTGCCTGTCTGTCTGTCTGCCTGCCTGCCTGTCTGTCTGTCTGTCTGCCTGCCTGTCTGTCTGCCCTCCTGTCTGTCTGTCTGTCTGTCTGTCTGCCTGTCTGTCTGTCTGCCTGCCTGCCTGTCTGTCTGTCTGCCTGCCTGTCTGTCTGCCCTCCTGTCTGTCTGTCTGTCTGTCTGCCTGCCTGTCTGTCTGCCCTCCTGTCTGTCTGTCTGTCTGTCTGTCTGTCTGCCTGCCTGCCTGTCTGTCTGCCCTTCTGTCTGTCTGTCTGCCTGCCTGTCTGTCTGCCCTCCTGTCTGTCTGTCTGCCTGTCTTTCTGTCTGTCTGTCTGCCTGTCTGTCTGTCTGCCTGCCTGCCTGTCTGTTTGTCTGTCTGTCTGCCTGCCTGTCTGTCTGCCCTCCTGTCTGTCTGTCTGCCCAGCACTGTGATGAGCCTGCGATTGGACCAAGAACTATGGAAACCTGTGGAGGCCATAAAAGCCTGATGGGTGCGTTTGGTTTGCTGACCTGTGCCTCCAGCAGACGTAGCCGTCGGTCGTGGTCTCGGATTTCTGTCATCTGCTTCAGAACGCTGTCCACTCTGCAGAAACCAGCAGCTCCATTGATTAGATCGTTCCAAGACTTCATTAAAGACAATTCAGTTCCACAACATGATGCAAAACATTCTGTGTGCTCTGCATCTATGATTGGCAGCATCAGAGCCCAGTAAAGGGTTAACCAGTCACACTGCCACATAAACGGTTAAAATAAATAAAGAGAAGAAGAGCCTCTGATAATTACAGCCTCCAGTTCCACTGACTGGTAATGAGTTCCACATGCTGAAGCTTCAGGACGTCTGGGTCCACCTCGTCTAACTAGCTTCATCCTCCAGAACCAGATCATCTGCATGTATCTAGATCAAAGCAGCTCGCAGTGTTTTTTCTTTGGACCTTTAATAATCCATCGTTTGGTGGATTAAATGGTAAATGGCATGTACTTATATAGCGCCTTTATTCAAGTTAGGTGACTTGACCAAAGCGCTTTACACTACATTCATTCACCCATTCAAACACACACTCACGCACTGATGGTGGCAAGCTACATGGTAGCCACAGCTGCCCTGGGGCTCACTGACAGAAGCGGGGCTGCCGTACACTGGCGCCACCGGGCCCTCTGACCACCATCAGTAGACAATGCAGGTGAAGTGTCTTGCCCAAGGACACAACGACAATGAAAGTCGGAGTCGGGGCTTGAACCGTCAACCCTTCGATTACAGGGCAAACTCCTCCATCCAACGCCACTGTCATGCAGAGAAACATTTTCCTTTGGCACGTCTCTCCTCTCTCAAGCAGAAGTTTTACTATTTGAATCTGCCAGACATGAATTCTGGATACTAGACCATTTAATCGAGCAACCCCAGCAGTTTGTGTTGTCTACATCTATAATAGAGCTAGATCCTCCAAACAGACTGAAGGTTCAAAGTTTCTCTGTAAAGAAATCAGCTGATTGGATCCAGTCCTAAAGAATCATTGAAAGATGTGAAACAGAAAATCCTAACACCTAATCCTAATCCTAACCCTAATCCTAATCCTAACCCTAATCCTAATCCTAACCCTAAAACCCTAACACCTAATCCTAATCCTAATCCTAATCCTAACCCTAAAACCCTAACACCTAATCCTAATCCTAATCCTAATCCTAACCCTAATCCTAATCCTAATCCTAACCCTAACCCTAAAACCCTAACACCTAATCCTAATCCTAATCCTAACCCTAACCCTAACCTCTACCACTCAGACGTTCCTTCATTTCCCTCCATGGCAGCTCCTTGGTTTTGTTCTCACACTGAATCTGGATGTTTGGCTCTGAATTCATCCGTTAACATCTGGATGTTTTTGTCTGACGGAAAGCGGATGAAGGGATGACAGACAGCGCTATGGAATGGAAAGTACAGGTGTAGGTGGGAAGTAAAAGGCAAAACGTTGTCCTCAGATTAAACATTTTGCTGCTCCTGCCTCCATCAGTAGTTTTCATTCACTGTTTGGAAATAACTTTTATTTTCATCATTATTTTATTGCTCTGTTTTATTGTACAGTCTATAATTTCCAGCTCTGTGATTTATTTCCTGCTCCTTTAATCCTGCAGCTCAGAGCCTTCATCTCCAAATCGTCTCTGTTCTTCGTCTTCAAAGCCGTTTCTATGAATGAACACGGAGGAGGGGGAAGTTGTGGCCTTATATGGAATTATGCAGATTTACATTTCTCTGGCAATGCATCAAGCTTAGGTGGACTGGACCAGCATCATTTATTCAATGATTGTTTAACTTGATGTGACGCGTTGCTAAGAGGAACAGGAGGAGGAATTTAGAAGAAGACTATAAAATGGAGCCTTGGCAGAAGTTAAACTAAAGAAACTCATTGCTTCCCTTCATCCACCTGCGACTCAATCAGCTTTGAACCACACCTCCACAGAGGCCAATCGCCATCCAAAGTTCATCTTAAAAGGCCTCTGATTCGCTCTGCTCCTGTGCGCGGGCGGCGGTTGCTCTGTGTGACATCATTCAGATTACCCCGTTTCCCTCCCCTCCAGCCCCTCCTCCACCATCGTAGCTAAAGCGTCATCAGAGCGTCATTCCTCCTGGACTCTCACTGCCTTCCCTGTCTCATTTCAACCGGTCCGGCAGAAGACCGCCATGCTGAGCCTGGTTCTGCCAGAGGTTTCTTCCCAACGGGGAGTTTTTCCTCTCCACTGTCGCTCCATGCTTGCTCATCATGACAGGTTCTCTCAACCTGTTATCCAGCTGGACTTCCATCTTCCAGGTCCCTGAGTGAAGCTCTAGTATCAGTCCAGTCCACTGGATCTCCCCATAAAGCTCAGCAGACCGACTCCCAAACCCGGGCCAGCTCCCAAACTGCCCAACTCCATCTATCTCCACTCCACCAGCTTTTTCGGGGCCGGGGGAAACAGCCCTTTTTTTTCCCTCTGTTAAAGGCATATTTATAAAAATTCACGCTCTTTTTTTCCTGCCTTGGGCTGACCCGCCAAAGCAAAGTAATTGTATCAAAAAAATTTTTCTCCTAATTCCCTTTTCCCTCTGTTAAATTTTTCAGTTTGAAATTTCAGCTTTAACCCTTTCGGGTTTCCCTCTCCATGGGAAGGGAAAAAGGAAGGTCAGCTCCTGCGGGGCCCTATAGGAAAAAACAGTTCTTTTTTTATGATGACATCATTCCTGTTTGGAACATAAACACCCCCCCAAGAATTTTGGGGTTTTTGTTTACCCCAAAATAAAATTTTTTTTAAAAATTTGTTCCTGATGGATGATGTTATTATGGGAAGGAACAATTTTCAGTTTTTTAATGTTGTTAAATTATTGAAATTCAGCTCTATTCTACAATTTTCTACCACGGACTGACTCACTTCCCCCAGAGGTCCTCTAAGCGGCATTTTTCGCTGCCCCTCTGCGTTTAAATCCTGGGGCAGCCACAAAATTTTCCTCGGCACAGACTCCCAGGTGTTCGGGGCGCTCCCTTCCGCCTTTAAACCCCACCACAAAAGGGACAAAAATTCAATCAAAAAGGGGGGGAGATAAAAGGCAGAGATTTGGAAAGGAAGGGGGGACTAAAATTCTGCTCAGTGCGGGCAGGGGTAAACAAAATTTTGGGGGGGTTTTGGGTTTCCCCGCCCGGGGGCTCTTTCGCATGGATTTGTGCATTTTCCCGGAAACAGGGGGTTCTCCCCGGGGTACTCCACTTCCCCCACAGTCCGAAACTTTTCGGGTTAATTTTTTGGCTTCAAAAATTTTCTCCTTGGGTTTTAGGTGAAGGGTTTTGTTTGTCCTCGATGGACGGGAGACCTGTCCAGGATAAAACCCCCCCTCTAAACCCACTGACACCCGGAATAACCCCCCCCCCTCACCACACCCAGGGATAAAGAGTGACGGAAAAGGGATGGATGAGGGAAATGGGGTTTTGAGGTTTATGGATGGGGGGATGCGGATGATGGATGGATGGGGGGGGGGGGATGATTTTCGGATGGATGGATTGGATGATGGAGGGATGATGATGGATTGGGGATGATGATGGGGAGTTTATGGATGTGTTTGGATAAAGGGGATGGAGGGATGGATAAAGATGGATGATGGATGGATGGATGAGGGTTGGAGGGTTTAATGGTGGATGGATGGGATGTGAGGAGGGATGATCGGAGGGATGGATAGGGAAAATTATGCTTTGGGCGATGATGGATGGGGGGGATGTTTGGGGGGAAGGGATGGAGGATGAGGGGAGGGGGGGGAGGGGGAGGGATGATGGAGGGAGGGGAATTGGAGGGAAATTGGAGGGATGAGGGAAAAAAGGGATGGGGAGGGGTTGGATGGGAGGGGAAGGGAGGGATGGAGGGATGAAGGGTGGAGGGGATTTTTCGTAGGGATGGAGGGGATGGATAGATGGATGGAGGGAAAATGAGGGAAAGGGGAGGGGGGGGTTTTAAAAGGGGGGGGGAGGGGGGGGAAAAGGGTTTGTTTGGATGGATGGAGGATGGGGGGATGGGGGAAAGGATGGAGGGAGGGTATGGATGGAGAGGGGTAGGGATGGAGATGATGGAGGTTTGATGGTTTGGATGGTTTTGTGAGGATGGATTTGGGTGGGGGGGATGGAGGGGGATGAGGATGATGGATATGGTTTTGGGAAATGGATGGGGATGGGGGAAAGGGATGGTTTGATGAGGGATGGATGAATGAGGGTTTGGATGGATGGATGGTTTTGAGGGAGGGTGGAGGGTTGGATGGATGGGGGGGGAAAGGTTTTGGGGATGGTTTGGAGGAGGAGGGAGGGGAGGGTTTGGATTGGGGGTTGATGGGTTTTGGGTTTTGATGATGGAGGGGGGGGGATGATGGATGATGGAGGGGGGGTTGGATATTTTTTGATGGGCATGGTTGGGATAAATGGATGGTTTTTTGGAGGGTTTGGAGGAGGGGGGTTGGGGGGGGGATTTTAGGAAAGGGGGGGGTGGGGGTTAGGATATGGAGGGGGTTTTTTGGTTTGGAGGGGGTTGGTTTGGGGGGATGTTTTGGTTGGATGGTTGGGGGAGGGTTTGGATTGGGGGGAGGTGTGAGGGATGGTTGGGAGGTTGGGGTGGTGGGGGTGGTGTGGGGAATTGTGGGTTTTTTGGTGTGGGGGGTTGGGGGTTGAGTTATGGGGGATTTGGGGATTTTTATGGTTGGTTTATTGGGGGGTGGGGGTGGTGTGGTTTGGGGGTTGGGTTTTTTGTTGTTGTGGGGGTGGTGGTTCGGTGGGTTGGGGTGGGTTTGGGGGTGGGGGGGGGGTGGGGGGAAGGTGGGTGTTGGTGGTGAGGGGTGGGGGGTTGGGTGGGGGTGTGGTGAAATGGGGGTGGTGGGGGATGGGGGTTTTGGGTTTTTTGGGGTTGGTTGTTGAGGGGGGTGGTGGATTTGGTGGGTGGTTTGGGTGGGGGGGTTTGTTGGTTGGGGGGGGTTTGGGTGGTGTGTTGTGGGGGGGTTGTGGCTGGGGGGGGGGGTGGGGGGGTGGGGGTGGGGGTGTGGGGGGGTGGTGGGTGGGGGTGGTGTGGGTGGGTGGTGGTGGGGTGGTGTTTGGTGGGTGGATGTGGTGGGGGGTTTTGGTGTGGTGGGGGGGGTTTTGGTGGGTGGGGGGTGGGGGTTGGGGGGGGGGGGGGGGGGGTGGGGGGGGGGGGGGGGTGGGGTGGGGGGGGTGGGGGGGGGGGGGGGGGGGGGGGGGGGGGG